ACTTGAGCCGTCAAACAATCAACTGTCCATCTTGCTCCTCTGTCAGTCTTACTAACAGTTCCCCTAGTTATTAGTAAAGTTTTATGGAAATTATGAATATGATTTATAGGAAATTTTAATGAAAATTCATAGGTTAATTTCCATGAATTTTTTAGACAATTTGAAAGAAAATTTTGAGAACTATTTCACGATAATTCTGAGGAGAATTTCAAAGCAATTCAAAGTAGGAATCCATGGGAATCCTGTGGATAATTTTAAGATTTTTTTTGAAGAAAAATAATCCAGAGCATAATTCCAGGGGATTTACGGAGAATACTTAGGGAGTATGCTAAAAGAAAGATTACAATAAAATCGTTGAATAACTCCAGGAGATCTTCAAAGGAATTCCGACTTGAATAAAAATGTGAGGTGAACTTCAATGAATTCTTAGAAGAAATTCAAAGGGAATTCTGAAATTAATTCATCGAAGATTCTGAAATGCAAAATGCCATGGTAGTTCTTATAAATTTTCCAAGGGAATTAAATTCTGAGGATAGTTCCATCAAAGTTTTGAGGAAATGTTCAAAGGAATTCTGATGAGTATTCCAAGGATATTCCGAAGATAATTTTTAGATTTCAAAAGAGAGTGAGGAAATTATGAGGAGCAAAAAAAATGGATATTCTGAGCAGATCTAAAAAGAACTTGCTAAGGGTAGCGCCATATGAATATCAACTCCATATGAATGCTGAGGAGAACTCAAAGTGATTTTTTTCCGAAGTATTTTTTTTTGGGGAATTGCTAGGTAATACACTGCAAGATAATATGAAGAGAACTGCAAAGTGAATTCAGAGAGTGTTCTGTAAGGAAATTTCAAGAGAATTATAAGGGAATTCCATAAAACACATTCGAGATCATGGACACAGAAAAAAATCTAGATTCAAGATTTGAGAAAAAAATGTTCAAGGGGTGGGATTTTTTAAATTTAAACCCTGTATGTATGACCCTGGATTTACAAAAATCTTCAAGATTCAGGCAGTTTTAGTTAAAATTTCAATATTCCGGGAATGAAGAAATTCCCAAGAATAGGGAACATGAGAAGCTTGAAAATTTAGGAAACATATTTGAAATGCTGAGCTTTGAAATGTATTTAGGATTGCGAACATGAAATTAATCAAATGATTGAGACTTTACCAAAAATAACATTTAACGCAATTACAGCTCTCTTATAATCATGGAAATTTTCCGTAAAATATCTAGAAAAAACCTACAAAACTAAGGAAATTTTATTCAGAAAATTGAGTAGATACCCTGCATAAGAACCAGCTAAAATTTCACTCCTACAAATTCACAAGACAAGATGATGAAGGCATATGGACGTCAAGATTTGAGATAGTTCTATCACAGACAAACAGACGTAACTCTTTGAAAAACTTGTTCTTGAAAACATAGTATCTCAAAACATATAACCTCAGTAACGACATCTATCTGGCTTCTCGCGGAAAACAAGCTTGCTCGCTAACTCGTAAAGAATGTTGCATAAAATTTCTATAGAATATATAGAAACGTCAAAGTGATCCGATGCCAGCGCTGTGGCGAGTAGTTCGCGGAACTGATAATATTCAAATCAACCGTTAAATGCATGAACGAAGATACACAATGAAGAGTTACGTCTGTTTGTCTGTGGTTCTATTGTTATCATAAGTACTGTTTTGTTATCAGTTAGGACAACTTTGACATAAAGTTATATTAATAAATATTCCATTTACTTAATCCTATTCCAATGTAAAAGTTTAAAGTGTATGCATTTTAATCATTCTGTACTGGTTATCGTCAATCAAAATATGTTGCTATTACTAATGAAAAACTATATAAAACTGGAAGATTTCGAACTTAAAAAAAAAAACTGGAAGATTTCAAACTTTTAAAAAACTGGAAAATGTAAAACTTTATCTGTTTGACTGGATGCTTCCAAAAAACTGGAATGATAATCCAGCTTAAACTGGAATGTTGGCATCATTGCATGCGTCAGTTTTGGCTTGAAGATTCATACGCGAGCTTATTCTCTCAGATTTGAGAATGATTTTCCGAACACAGACAACAATTTTCAAAATAATAATTCTAGATAGAGCTGCAATAAAGGCGAATGTCGCAAGTGTAAACAAACTGAGGATAATGCATCACGTTATACTACGATTAAAATGCTACAAAACCAAATTAAAAAAATTGGCAAAAATAATGTATATCCTTCAAATTGAGTTGTCTCTTACGCCCGCTTTCTCCCATATATGTACATAACTAGATGGGGCGAAACAGACACATTGTCGCAACACAAGGCGATAGATATAATTTAAATCTTTACACTATTTTTTGCAACCGTTGGTAATCAAAAGCAAACATTGTTAACCTGATCGAAATAGGCATGAAAAATAAGTGAAAACACCACAACACTTGAATTTATCTGGAATCCAACAAACTGCAAAAGGTCGATAGTAACAAACCATCAGGAAAAAGAACGTAAACATTGAGGCGAAACCGACAATGTCAAAAGCTAGCAGGTGAAACATGGGGGCGAATTGACTTCTGTGAACGCAACCGGCGAATTATAAAAATACTATAAATCAAAAGGGCGCATGTAAAATTTTAATTTTTTCCGCGCTGTAAATAAAAATAATAATATTTTTATTTATCTCACAATAATGCTAACCAATAGTTAAATAATAACAAATAGTACAATTCATGAAATTGGTTGATATATTATTTTATATTGAATTATTATTGTTCAAAATTGCAGATTCCTATTTCTCAGTTCAAGCCCATTGCGACATTGGCCCTTGTTTCAGCTCTATCTAGAAGAGTAGTTCTTCGTCTTGCATAAAACGAGCTGAAATCAATTGTCAAGTTCCCTTGGATAGTGTAGAAGGTTCCTTAATTTTCGAAAAATAATGGAAAATTCCATGGAACCACTCATGAGCCCAACCCATTTCCATTCCAATTCCGAACCGCATTAAAAAATCGAGCAAAAGCACAAAGAAGAAAAATCAATTCCGCAGCCATATTCGCCCATCATATTTTATTTACAACAAACCACCGCATCGCAGTCAAAATAAGCTACCTAGCTGCTGTTCGTTTGGTTCAACCCCGACTAGGACGAGCAAGCTTCAGTCAGTCAGCAGGCCCAGTCTCTTCGTCGATGGAGCGCAGTAGTTTGTTGTTGTTATTACGTCTCAGTTTTTGCACTCGTGTACTGCCTTGCTGGTGTCATTGTTGTTGCATTTTATTTCGTCAGTAGTCAGCAGGTTCACAAACCGAGTTTTTTTTTCAGTTTCGCAGACCAGCGCAGAACGGTTCTTCTTCTTCCTACCGTACCCAACTCTTCTTCTGCTAGCGTGTACATAAATACATATTCTCGTCATTATTTCCATTCAGACGAAAATCTCGCGCACACCAACACACATCCGAATCAGCTGTTCACAGCAATTTGCCTCTCATACTCATTCTCATTCTGCTTGAAAAGTGCAGAAATTGGATACGACGGCTCTGAGAGATATACCCATCCGTGCCAGTGCTTGTTGTTGTTTTCTGTTTTGCTTGCTCAATGCGGGCACGTCGGGAGTTGTTGCTCTCTGCTCTACTCGGTGTCGTTCGCTGTTTAAAAGGTTTATGAATGTATTTCCGCTGACTTGATTTCCAATTGAAGCCCCCATCAAGTACCTATGGCTGATTTCAGATTCTCTTGCAAATCTGGAGAGTATCACTCAAAGTTCGCACGTTGTGAACGCGATAAAAATGGTCCCACGAATCAGCTGTGGTAAAATGAGCTGCTAAACTGTTGGAGGTGACGTAGTCGTTTCGTTGAGGGTTAACCGCTTTTGCGTTAATGAGTAATTTTTACCATCGAAGGTAGATGATGCAATTGGATTGCATTTGGTTGAGATTTCGAGGGTGCATTATTTTTTTTTTCAACGCATGGGTCGATTATGAACCATAGACAACTGGGGGAGGACACTATAATCAAAATGGTGGAATATTCTTCGGACGGTAGGTACGTAAAGTAGTGTAATAACTCTGCCTCGTTACACCCAGCCCAGGGACCCGTTCTTCTATGTTTGTGTGAGTTTTTTGTTTTGTTTACGTTGTTCTCCCTCTCCCGGTGGCTCGCTAGACCTGTCTCTGTACGGGACATATGCGAACGCGAGTATCTGCGCAGTGTATTTTGATTCGTTCAAGTCAGGGATTTCTCTTTTTTCTACATATCACAACATATCCACGGACGACAGTTGTTGTTGGGTTAAAAAATGTGATTCCTTTGTTGTCACTGTTGGTTGAATTCCCGTCCGTCCCGGACCCTGACGGGTGGGGACACACCATTGTAAATTTAAATTTATCCAATTTGAATTCCTAAGCTCGAAGCTCTCTAGCGATCAGGGCTAGAAATTAGACGGGCAAGCACGAGCAGCAAATTCCAAGGCCAGTGTTGTATATATTTACCCTTTTTTAACGTTTGATCGAAGATAGTAAAACAGAAAACTTGTTAAGGCCTTTGCTGATTGGTACACGTGGCACTGGTACCGTGTGATAAAGGTAAAGAATTTCAAATTACATAATTCTGGGCATGAACACCTCCTTCTGAAACGGTGTTTCTTGTCACACATTCTCAAGCCCCCCCCCCTCCCTCGTAGCAGGAAGAGTGCAAGTGAATATTATTTTTGCAAATACGCATACACAGACAGGTCATAGCACTGTTTGCCAATGCCCATCATCTCGCAAGACGAATAGGCAAACAAAAGAAAAGTGTTACGACGACCCAAATATGCATGGACCTGACTGGGAGGGGTCGCCTCCGGGGAATCAGGGTGTAGATTTATACGAGACCCCATTTTTCTTCCTTACACACCTACTCTCTCTCTCTCTCTCTCTCTCTCTCTCTCTCTCTCGTGCACTCAAGAGTGTCAAGTCAGATGCAATTGGATAACAGGAAGGGCAGTTGCACTCACTATAGGGAAGAGATCGATAAATTTACCTGATACATTGCAGTCCTTGGCAGATCCAGGCAGACGGCACAGCACAGAATGCCACCGAGACGGGCTTCCAGCTTTTCAATCATCTTGGTCTCAGGTTTATCGATTTTCTTTCGTTTCGTTTCCGGCTCGTCCTCATCCGTATGCTCGACCGGGCGTGCCGGTTTCTGAGATTCGGCTTGACTGCTGTTGCCTAGGCTGTTGGTCATGATTTGCTCTGCCAAATTCAGGCCATGTGCAGGCTGGGTGGCTACAGAAATCAATAATGTCGAGGCCTGGCCCCCGGACGTGGACGAAGAGGATGAGGATGCGACCACCGAAGAGGTCGAGGATGAAGGAATAGAGGAGCCCCCGGACGATGAGCCCGGCTGCAAATCTGCCGATAGCTGATTCATTCCGCCGAGATTCATCAAGTGACTCGAACTGGAGGCTGGTGATTCTACTAGACTGTCTGCCATATTGTTTTCGAACCGTTCTTCTTTTCTAAAACAATCACCAACGGGTTCAACAGTCTAGCAAATAAAGGTCCCACAAAACACTTGCACGAAGCGAAAAATAAAAATTCAAAATGTCAGCCACTTTCCACTCACAAGCACAACTAAATTAAAAGATGTCGATTCTATTTCCAGCGCTAGCTTCGATCCCAGACCAGAGCGTTTCGAAAGAACAAAGAAAATCTACGTTCTAACTCTTTTTCCTCGCCTTTACTATCAAAAACTTCCCCAGAAAAAAAAAACTGAAGCCTTATAATCACTTTTTTTCCCTCTTATCACGAAAAAAAAACTCCTAAAACTATTCGATTCACTGAAATTTCCTCCGATATTTCGATCAGTAGTTGGTGGATATAGTAGCTGCTGGCCCCACTCAGGCTGTGGCTGCTGCTGATAAATCTCACTCACTTACTCTGTGAGCAAAAATACACCAAAGAAAATAAAGTAATCTCTGCAAAACCCACAGAGCTCCAATAAGCCTCCACGGGGACGTCGGGAGCAAACTACAAAACACGTCTTGATCTTCAAAGTGACAATTTGTAACTACGCAATGCGCCTAGCTCCTATATGTTTTATGTGTGTTATATAATGCAGACACGAATTTCAATATGATTTTTTCTTTGTTCTCCTGCCTGCCTGCGACTCCTGCGCGAGCGAGAGAGGAACGACTTTTCCTCGTTTTCCTACAATCATACATACGAAGCTCTCTTGCTTTTTATTATTTTATTCCAATCCAATCTTGTTCTTCCGATCTGACTCATCTGTGTTTGTTAAACCTGAGCGAACGCGTTTTAAATGCACCGCCGCCGCTGCTGCTGCTGCTGTATAGGTGCATGCGATCTAATCAACCATGTTTCATTGCATCGTGTTCGTGTCGTTCTTGATGTCAATGTGTGCAGCCCCGATGTCGATGTGTCACCCCCTTTTGTTTACCTTTCGATTGCAAGAATCCACGTCGCAAAATTCGTCCAAATCCTGCCGAATTCAACCAAAATCCACCTACCAACGACAAAGCAGCCTGATCGACCTTCAACCAAACAACCCCCTTTTCTTATATGCATTGCGTGTGTACATAACCCTTGACATAACCCAATACTCTTCACCAACAAGCAGAAATCCACGAAGGAAAAAAAAAAGTACATACACCCTTATGTACAGCAACTGCTAACCCCCTTTGCGGCAGGTATTTACCGTTCAATGTTTTCGTGCCATCTCGCTCGGACCTGTGTTTACAGCTGGTTCCGTAGATGGTCTCGAATGGCAAAGCGAGAGGCAGCGAAAACAAAGCCGCCTTGTGAGGGTGAATCAAGAACGACGGTGATGATGATGATGATGGTGGATGACGATGCTATCGAATCGAGGAGAATCCGCTCGCTGTTCGCTCGTGTGTTTATGTTTATGTTTCACAGCTGGTCTCGTCGAGGCAGACGAGTGTAGCGTGGAAAGTTTTTTGTTTTGCTATGGCAGGTCAATGAGGATTGTGCAGTATTGAAATCGTAATAATATTGCCAATTCAGAGAAAAAAAAGCATTTGGCTTCAGATTAGGGTATTTAATCATGGTTTGTTAGTTACTAATGCTAAAATGACCATGGTTTGAACCATTCAGAAAATAATCTAAAAAAATAATCGTTAACTTTGATTTTCCAAAAATACATTTTTTATCTAGTTCGTTTATTAGGAAGGCTCAATCGCGTTAGCTTTACGGAGCAAATAATTCATTGTTCATTGTTTTTGACAAAATTCACTTATACCTATGTCTAATAGGAGTTGAGCCGAATACTCGCGGCTTATGAACGGTAATGCGGTTCTAGCTTCGTCTGGAGGTCGACCGGGTACGGTGACCAGTGGGCGACGATGAGACCAAATTCCAAAAATACCTGTAACACGGTACTCTGACATGTAGCCAATTGTATATAACACATGAAAAAGATATAACAATGATTATAACAAGCACTTAATTTTAGCAGAAATCATAGGCATTTTAAAAACGCGTGATATTTTCATTGATTTCACCAAGACTCACAACTTCTTTAGCTAAATTACCTTATATTTTCAGTAATCCCAAATCATGCCTTAATCGAAGTATATTGACATATGCTTGGATAACATAATAATAACCATAACCATAATTTGTTGATTTTCCTGGCGAAAAATTGCACCATAGTTTGAACTAATCGAATTCTTGGTTAGAAGTAGGAGTTTCCTCGACTGGCCGCTAGGAGCGCTGTAGTTTGTTTACTTCTGTCGAAGGCGAAGGATTGTTTAGGATCATCCGAAGGCGAACTTCCCACATTTGGTTGGCTATGCATATACCTTAAAAGACACCCTTATATTTCAATGCGCACACCAGAAAGTCTCGGAATAGCATCTAATGGACTGACTGTTGATCGTCTCAAGCGATATTTTGAGTTTTTGCCAAACGAGTTCGAGCGGAGAGATACGCTACACCTTCTTCAGCAACCCGGGATTCCTCGATCAGTAGTTTTGGTTGTTGATGGATACTCTGGACATCATTTCTTGAAGCTCTACAAATGGTGCTGCGAAAATGAAGTTGTGTTGCTTGTGTTGTATCCCAATGCAACTCATATCCTTCAAGTTTTGGACGTAGCAGTTTTTAGACCTCTTGAAGCGATTTTTTCAAAAATGGAAACACCAAAATCATGGCAAGACATTCAACGAAGTTGAGTTCGTGAAGCTTTCGAAGCGCACCAACGCTGAAGTAATCAAAGTGGACACTATTGTTAATGGGTAGAAATCAACTGGCCTTCAGCCGATCTGTTTTGAAAATCTAAATCGATTGAAAATCAAGGCTTGCAGGTTGAATTTAGTTGAATTGAAAATAAGTTTACATGGTTACCTTTACAGAAACTAACAACAGACCCAATCCACCAATGAAAGTCATTTCCATTGACAGTGCTCCTTCTACGTCTGGTTTCGATTTTTTTTTCCTTTGCGACCAGTAATTTTATCTATTGTAGTACATCCCGTGTCCTTAGTTTAGTGTATTACTTCATCACTATTGAGAAATGATGAAGTATTCGATTTTTTACAGTTGTCATTCTTGCATTTATCGCAAGGAATCGATTCTAATTGAAAGGTCCCGCTATTTATACCCTTCGGAGTGTTGGAACACCCTCCAAAGGCGCGCCCCTTTGTCAGTCAAAATTGGATTCCTTAGCAACAAAAATAAGCAATGACACCGATAATGACCATGCATCAGAACCCTAGTCTTAACCACTTCAAACTAGGGAACAACGAATAGAAGATTAGGAATCACATAGATAAAGTCCAACTAACTCATTTTTCCTTGTTTCAAGATCATCCTTGATGAACAAATCCGAGTCTTGTCACTATCAACATAAAAAGTAACTAGGAGTAAGATGTGTTCCTTTGACTACTGAAAAATCCTGTTCGCCTAGTTTGAAGTAGTCAGGACTAGGAATCGGTGGTAGATCTTACATCCCGTAACGTACCACGAAAAGGTGATCTACGCACGTTACGGGGCAACTGGTTTAGATTACGATGATTCTAGTCATGGGAAGGACACTACAGCGGCGATTTTGAAGACTCTTAACCTCCCAAAAGACATAAGCAGTGATTTTGATCTGATAGAATCTTCGTCTCGTGATATACTCACTACATCTAATGAAGGCAATGAGCAGATCAAACTGTCTTCTTCTTTGATAGAATCCGTGGAGGAGGTTAGCATCCAACCAGAAAGCGAATCAACCGTATTCGAATGTGACTTGAGTCTGAAGAATTAAATGCTTGACATTTCAAATATTACAACAATTGACCGTGAAATTATGAAGCTAGTTTCGAAAATCCGTGACGACCTTAACACTCTTCGTGCCCATATCAACGATAATGAACCGTCATAGCTTATCAACATCCTTATCATAGGGGCTTATTACGGATGTCACTTCACGGTGAAAACTTGTCACTTGTCATCACGGTGAAGTGATTCTCATTTGATTTGTACGGCAATCACGGCTCTTATTCTGAGTATCACTTCGTTATCACCGTGCAGTGACACCCGTAATAAAGCCCATTGAGTATCAACTTAATATTATTGAGCCAATAATTCCGGAAAGGATTAATCCAGTGACCCCTAACATTCGAACACTGTCGGATATCCTTAAAATTCCAAACATTGTGAGCAATACTAACCGGAAGACGAAAGGCATCAAAATCTCGTATGGAGTGATCTCTAACAAACAAATCATCGATGAAAGGGAACAACGAGAGATAGAAAAAATGAAGATTGCGGAAGAACGGCGCACTGATGAGACTGCTAAAGCAAAACCCCAAGGCCAAGGAAACTGAGCGATTGAAGACGGTCCGAAACCGTATAAAAGTAATGAAAGTGGAGGCAACTGCTGAACGCAACGCAGTGGCCGCCGAACGAAAGAACCACATGGAGAAAATGAAAAAGAGAAAGCAACTCAAAACGCTGGAGTCTGAGCCACTTAAGGACACATCTTTTTGGTGCCCCTCCCTCTTAGAATGTGACGTTTTTAATGGATAGTCCCTACAAGGTTTGAAATAAATAAATAAATAAAAGAGTTGTTCTCCAAATATTTAACCACCCCGTAGACTGTCGTCAACACAGAATTTGATATGGAGCGTACACTTTGTCCAGACTCTCCCCTCCCCTACTTGTATGGTCCCAATTCATGGTAAAAATGTCCTAGGAGGATTCCTGAATTGAAATTAACATAAGCAAACCTTTCCCTTTAATATGTGCATAAGTATCAAAATTATATATCCTCCTGAACACCCCTCCCACATAATCTGCTGCATCATTGAAAAGCATGCATGATTTTCAATCTTTCAAAAATTATACGTTTATTTGAAATTTAGCTTTAATGAGGGGCATCATTCGAATGGTTCAAACCAAGACGTGCTAGTAGTTCAAACCATGATCAGTTTTAAATTATAACAACAGCCACATGACGAAGTCCCAAGAGTCATGGCATTATGGCAGTAAACATGGTTTTGTATAAATTACATTTGAATTCGAAAAAAAATCATGTTTTTTCTTACATTTGGTTCAAACCATTATCAAATTAGAGCTAGGGCTTCAACTATCCGGATACTTCAGTTTTTTTTTTTTTTCAATAAAATCACTTTCTGTAATCTGTAAATAATCCGGATATCCGGATAGTGAAAATTCAAATTTATTCTCCCTTTAACAGTTTCCTTTTTTACTGTTCTAAATAATTGTCAAAAAGTTGGTATATGCAAGTAATTGCCATGTATACTGGATATTCTAGGTTCTCCAAATCGTCCTGGAGATCAGTTGATTTGTTCTACTTTATCAACAAGACTGCAATAATGTCTGTCGTATCGAAATATGTCCAAACAAATTTGCAGTGTCTATGTGGATTATGCCAACCTATTTTCTTGAATGCCAAATGTTCTAGGATTTCCATATCGATATTTCGATACGACAGATTTTATCCCAGCCTTTGTTGATCTAGTAAGACAAATCATCTGAACTGCAGGACGATTTGGAGAATCTAGATCATCTGGTATACGTGGACA